GGAGGCCTCCAGCGCAGAGACCTCCAGAGGTGGAGGAGGAGGAGGAGGAGGATGAGAAAGAGGTGGAGGAGTAGGAGGAGGAGGAGGACGATGAGGAGCTTGGGTGCTCGTGGAATTGAGAGTTTGGAGTAGAAGGTGGCCAGCACAGACTTCGTTTGCACGGACTTCGGATTGCGAGGAGGCTGATGAGGAAGGGGAGCAGGAGGAGGAGGAGGAGGAGGGGGAGGAGGAGGGGGACGAGGAGGAGGAGGAGGAATTATATGAATCATAATCTTGAGAAGACGAGTAAGAATAGTATTACGAATAAGTGATAAGAAGAGTAATACTATGCATAAAGAGAAGAATAACGATACTAGTATTAGTAGGAAGAAGGCAAGGAGTCGGAGGCGGAGGAGGAGGAGGAGGAGGAAGAGGAGGAGGAGGAGGAGGAGGAGGAGGAGGAAAAGAGGAGGAGTAAGGGCAGATGCCCCAGGAGGAGAGAGACTTCGAGGGGCGGGGGGTGGGGCCTCTGAATGGCTGCGTGTGGCCCTGACGTCGCCTCGTGTCGGCGTCACCTCAACATGCTCATACTGTGAGTGCGTCGCCGCCCCCCCAGGGGCGACGCGCGCGCCCAGACACCTCATACAGTGGGGGCGCGCATCAAGAAACCATCTGTCTTTTCTTCAAGGTGCCCCGGGTTTCTTCGCTCCGCGCGCTTCGCGGTGACTTCCCGCAGCCGTTGAAGAAGCTGCTGCGTTCAGCATGCTCGGGTTTGCACCTCGCGCGCGCGGGTTTTCAGTGTTGGGTTTCTTGCGAAGGTTTCTTGCGGCCGCGCCAGCACGCATTGTAGCATAGGCTTGGTGGCGGCCGCTTTCTGGCCATACTGATCGGAACACGATCAATACGACATAGGTTGTGCCAGATGTTCGGGTCGGACGTGCGCCTCCAAGGAGGAGACATTGCACCAGTATGTTTTTGTGTATCCCATGGGGCGCTCTTGGCGCTCTCGGGGCCGCCTTGGGGCCCTCTCTTGGGCTTTTTTCGGGGCGACCTTGGGGCCATCTAGAGGCCTCAGAATCACATCGGAGGCGAAGTTGCGAGAAAACTGGAGTCGTTGCAAACCGCTGTGGTTTCCAATGCTTTTGGCATCTGTGGGGCATTCTGGGGAGGCTCCGTGGCCTCTGGGGGGCGCATTTCGGGCGGATTTGGTTTTCGCCATCTTGAGCTATCTTGCGCTGTTTTGGAGGTCATCTTGGCATACATGGGGCCGTGCTGCCTGGTCCAAACAGGACCCTCTGGCACCTGGCTGGTGGGGGTGGGAGTATTGGGGGCGTCCAGACAAGCTCCCAACGGGAACGTCACAGGCTGTTTCGCCCACCGCCGCCGCCCCCTCCGCCTCATCCTCCCCCTCCTGCTCCTTCCCCCCCCCCTCCTTCTCCTTCACCTCCTCCTCCTCCTCCTCTTCCTCGCCCCGCGCCCGCCTGCTGCTACTGCCGTCCCTCCCCTCCGCCAGGACGCCCCAGCCGCCATAAAGGCAACACCGGGGACTCGGGATGGGCAGAGGCCACCACCGGAAGGGCCGCCGTTTGGAACCAGTGCAGATGCCAATTGCGCGACGTTCGCTAGGTGCCCCACGCGTGCCAAGTGAGCCACGCGCAGCAGGTGCGCCAGGTGCCCAAGTGGCCCTAACGTGCCGGGCGCGCCTGGTCCAACCGAGCCACGTGGGCGATGCGCGCAGGGATCGCCGCCGCCGACACCCCCAGCCGTCCCTGTCAAACGCCTCCAGCATGTGGCGGCGGGGTGGCCAGCACGGTGTACGGTGTTTGCACCCGCAGTGAGTTCTGACGTGGATTTCAGCGCGCATAGGACAACTACAGCCGGACCGAGGTGTAAGATCGAGGTTGTTTCGGGGAGGGTACCCTGGTGTTTTTTGTGTTTGTTGGATGTTCTTGTGCATCCTGGGGGGGTACCCTTGGATGCTCTGTGTGTTTTGGCTGGCGGAGGGTCTCATGTTCTAGGGGGTGCTCATCTGGCCTAGGTCCGACTGCAGGACACATGTGCCCACACCGCCGCCACCCTTGTCAAACAGCACATCCAAAATCCTTGCCGGGAGGCCCGCTCGCGGTCCAGGTTTTGCCGCCACGTGCGCTGAGCGTAGCAGTTTGCCAAGGGCGGCGGGTCCGAGGCGCAGTTTTCGTGGTCGGTGGCAGGTTGAGTGGACGGATGTCTTTTCGGAGGGAGCCGTGGAGACTTGCCCCGATCGAATGAAGCAAAGTAAGTTTGAAGAGGAAGCGCCTGAAACCACCTGGGTGGGATTACGTGGTCCATGTGGCCCACAAGACGGGGATGGTCATGGTAGTAGCTCGTGTAGCTGGGCCGTCTGTGTATCATAAGCAGAGTATGCACGCATAGAACACAATGTTCGCACTTCCATGTCGCGATGGCAGGGATCAGTACATAGCTCATGGCCTGTCATGACCATTGGGTTTGCGTGTTGATCGACCACCATCGTAGCGCAGCTTTCCGCACGGCGCAAGGATGTACATGTTGATGATGGTAATCGTGGTGATGCTGGTGACAGTGGTCGTGGTGATGATGATATGGGTATGAACATGAAGATGGTGATGGTGATGATGACGCTGATGGTGACGATGATGATGCTGCTGGTGATGATGGTGGTGATGATGCTGCTGATGATGGCTATGATCATGATGATGACGCTGATGATGCTGTTGATGATGATTATCAGAATGCTGATGCTGATGCTGCTGATGATGATGAGGAGGAGGCGGATGATGACGATGACGATGACTCTAATTGCGAGGCTGCTTGTCATGGTGGTGATAATGATAGTGACGATTATGAGTATGATGATGATGTTGATAATGAGGATGATGCTGATGATGCTGATGATGCTGATGTTGATGCCACGTATTATCATAGTACTAATGCTGCTGTTTATGCTGACGATGATGATGAGGAGGAGGCGGATGCGGATGATGATAATGAGTGTGATGACGATGCTGCTGGTCATGGTGGTGATGTCGATGGTGCTGCTGATGATGACGGTGATGACGATGATGATGATGATGATGATGATGATGATGATGATGATGTTGACGCTGATGATGATGATGATGATGATGATGATGATGATGATGATGATGATGATGATGCTGATGATGATGATGCTGAGCATGATGATGAGGATGATGATGAAGATGAGGAGGATGAGGAGGAGGATAAGGATGGTGATGGTGATGTTGAGGATGCTGATGCTGATGCTGATGACGATGGTGCTGAAGGTAATGATGCTGATGCTGATGTTGATGCTGATGATGCTGATCATGATGGTGCTGATAATGCTGACGATGATGGTCATGCTGATGATGCTGATGCTGATGATGCTGAGGATGGTGAAGATGCTGATGATGATGATGATGATGGTGGTGATGATGAAGGGGAGGATGAGGATGCAGATGATGATGATGCTGTTGATGATAGTGCCGATGATGATGCTGATGATGATGTTGATATTGATGATGGCGATGATGATGCTGACGATGATAATGATGGTGATGATGGTGATGATGGTGGTGGTGGTAGTTACGGTGATGGTGTTGTGGTGGGCCTTCCCCGTTCCGATGAGTGGAGCACCAGGCCTTGGCCCGCTTCGTCTTGGGAAACCTTGCCCGGAACGAGGCAGGGAGGGAAAGGCGGGAGGAGGAGGAGGAGGAGCAGGATGATGATGATGATGATGATGATGATGATGATGATGATGATGATGATGATGATGCTGATGCTGATGCTGATGCTGGTGCTGATAGTGATGCTGATGATAATGATGATGATGCTGCTGATGATGATGATGATTATGATGATGATGATGATGATGCTGATGATGATGATGATGATGATGATGATGATGATGATGATGATGATGATGATGATGATGATGATGATGATGATGGGGTGGTGGTGGTGGTGGTGATGTGGTGAGGAGGAGGAGGAGGAGTAGCAGGACGGCAAGGAAGAGGGGAGGGAGGAGGAGGAGGAGGAGGAGGAGGAGGAGGAGGAGAAGGAGGAGGAGGCGGTGAAGGTACGAATGAGGAGAGTATTCGGATGAGCAGGAGGATTAGATGATGCGGAGGGGGGGGGGCAGGGAAGGAAGGAGGAGGGGGAGGAGGAGGGGGCGGAGGGGGAGAAGGAGGAGGAGGCGGAGGAGGAGGCGGAGGAGGAGGCGGAGGAGGAGGAGGAGGAGGAGGAGGAGGAGCAGGGGGGGGATGGATTGGACGGAGGAGGAGGGGAGACGCCGCGGCCAGGGAGGGGGACACTCTGAAGCCCCCTTTCCTCCTCGCTCCCATCCCCTTCGTCGCCTTCGCGGGTTCCTGCTGTCCTCCTCGCCCTCACTGGTCCAATCCCACCCCGATCTTCCCCCGCAGTTCTCTCGCCCTCGCTGGTTCCTGCCTTCGCCCGGGCAATGCCAAGGGGGGGGGGGTCACGGCCAGGGGGTCGCCAGGTCCTTCGTGTGGGACCCGCGGCTCGGGGATGTAAGGATTTCAGGCTGCGCGGAGGGGTTCTGCAGAACGGTTCGCGAGCCTGTGAGGCTTGGGCGCGAACTCATAGGCGGGCGACCCCCCCGCCCCTGCCCGGGAGCGGGCGGGCGGCGGCAAGGGCCTGGAGGATTTGTGAGCTTTGGAGGAGCTCGTGCATCCGCAGCAAGCGGTGCAGTGCCATCGAGGGCAAAGGAGTCTCTGACCCTAGTAGCACGATGTTGACGCACATAGCCTCACAGAGGTCCACGTCTTTGCATTAGGGGTCGCAGATCTGGGCGGTTCGGCTCGGGGTGCGTCTGCAGAACAAGGCCCCCCCTCTAACCCTGGTGTGCTTGGCCTCCTAGCTTCAGTCCTCTCCCAAATGATTAGGGGGTCCTTTTGTTACCCATCGTGCAGGGGCAGCGGCAGCGGCGGCGGCAGTGTGGCTTGGTGGTGCGCCGCCTTGGCGCTACCCGCGCCCGCGAGGACCTCTTCTCGTAGGCGGCGTCCGCGGCTGCGCGGCCAGTGCGGCGAGCGGGCTCCCTGGGGGCCCGCGCCTGTTCGGCCTGCCCCAGGGAGAGGACGTGGCGCCGAGGAATCCAGAGGTGAGGCGCCCATTGTCCACGACCACTGCCACGGGTAGGACGGGGGTGAAGGGAGGATGGGGAGGTCCTCCTCCTCCTTCTCCTCCTCCTCCTCCTGCTTCTCCTCCTCCTTCTCCTCCTCCTCCTCCTCTCCTTCCTCCTCCTCCTCCTCCTCCTCCTCCTCCTCCCTCCTCCTCCTCCTCCTCCTCCTCCTCCTCCTCCTCCTCCTCCTCCTCCTCCTCTCCTCCCTCCTCCCCCTCCTCCCCTCCTCCTCCTCCTCCCTCCTCCTCCTCCTCCTCCTCCTCCTCCTCCTCCTCCTCCTCCTCCTCCTCCTCCTCCTCCTCCCTCTCTTTCCAACCTACGGTAGTGGTGGTGGGAAACCGGCCCGTCAAGGGCTCCTGAGGGAGACACGTCCTGAAGCTTTTCGTCGTTCTCTGGGCCCTCTCCGAGCCCTCTCCGGGGCCCAAGGTCTACGCCTCCCAGATGGGGTCGGAGCAGATGGGGTCAGAGGATCGCGCCGCATCGCCGATGCATCGGCGATGCGGGTCGATGTGGAGCCAGGTTTGCTTCACGCCCACGTCGCCGATACATCGCCGACGTCGCCAGTGCACCGCCGATGCATCACGGATGCATCGCCGATGTGCCGGCGATGCGGCGCGATCCTCCGACCCCATTTGCTCCGACCCCATCTAGGAGGTCTCTAGTTTTAAGTGGGGCCTGTCCCTCTACAGGGGGAGAAATTTAAGATAGTCAAAATATAGTCTGGGGACGATGTGTTGAGTATGTTTCTGCCATTGTGGGGTATTGTTTGACTATTGTTTGATGTCTCGTCCAAAAATCCCACTGCAGGAGGACAGACCTGACTTAACTCTAGTTCTCTGGGCCCTCTCTGCTTGGGTGGACCAGTGCACCTGTCAATACTTAGCCGACTTAGTAAGTACTTAGCCGACCTGGAAGAGACTTGCTTAGCACTGAGCTAGGTAACTTACAAGTGGCTTAGCAAGTGACTTAGCTAAGTACATAGCTCGGTATTTAGACGTACTCAAAAGGTACTAAGCTAAGTACTTAGCTTACTTTGCTAAGTACTTAGCTCGGCACTTATGAGTACTTACTAAGTGCTTAGCAAGTGACTTAGCTAAGTACTTAGCTTGGCACTTATAAGTACTTAACTAAGCACTTAGCTTGATTAGCTAAACACTTAACATACACTTCTAAGTACTTAGCTAAGTCCTTGCCTATATGCCCTGACATGTTTTTAATGGGGGGGTGAGGATGTCATGAGGGCCACTCAGGGGTCTCAGGAATGCCCTTCCCACAACATCATCATCATCATCATCATCATCATCATCATCATCATCATCATCATTATCATCATCATTATCATCATCATCAGCATCATCATCATCACCAGCAGCATCGTCATCATCAGCGTTATATCCATCGTCATCGCTATCCTCATCAGGGGGAGGATGGCCATTTTCATCATCCCTGGCTTCTCCCGCCTACGCTTCGTTCATCGTCGCATTCTTCATCAGCTCCGTCGTTTTTCCCGCGTGCTCTTTTCGCATCCCCCTCCTCGCCAACCATCCACCTCATCATTGGAGGAGGCAGGTGATGAGATGGAACAGGAAAGGGCGACAATGCGAAGATATGCGCATGGGCGAGACGAGGAACACGAAACGATGGATGACGCATAAGGAGGACGACGAGCTACAAGGAACATAAACAAAGGAAATACGGAGACAGTGATGGACTACGAGCCGAGTGGATTGTATCCCAACGCCCCGCTTTTATTTATAGTTCCCGCGCCCACTTTCATCATGGCGTGTCCTAGCGGTGCTGGTTTGGAAGGGGGATAGTGAGGAAACGGGTGATGAGGATGGCGTGTTCTATTTCTCTTCTTGAATATGCTGGTATGCGTATAGCGAAATACTTATGTAGCTTATGACTGTCCTGGTAGAGCCCCATGTCGGCGGCGGAGTCGTCGCCGTCACGCTCGTTGTCGCGCTTGTTGTTGTCGTCGTCGGCGGCGGAGTCGTCGCCGTCGTCGTCGTCGGGGTCGTCGCCGTCGTCGTCGTCGGAGTCGCTGTCGTCGTCGTCGGGGCCGTCGCCGTTATGGTCGGAGTCTTCGCCAGGCTTCGTCGGAGTCACCGGGGTCGGGTCTTAGTTACAGTCGTCGTCGGGGTCGTCGTCGCTGGTGCAGATGTCGTTGGCGTCGCTTCTGTGGCAGCCTAGGAGGCATGTTTCGTGGCATCCTATGGGGCATCCCAGGGGGCGCCCTATATGGGGGGATCCTATGCGGCCTCTCGTGGGGGCATCCTAGGGGGGTATCCTGTTGGGAAGGCATCCGATGGGGCATTATTCGGGGCAGCTTGCGGAGCGTTGTACTGGGCATCGCACAGGGCATCTTGCTGGGCATGTGATGGGGCATCTTAGGTGGCAGCATATAGAGAATTATATGGGTTATCATATTTGGATACAACTGGGAAGAACATCGTGTGAGACATCGTGTAGGGTACCTTATGGGGCGTCATGCGGGGCGTCCTGGGGTGGGCATCGTTGGGTGCATTGGTGCATCGTGTGGTGCATCCTCTAGGGGGCGTCCTATGAGGTATATCGTGGCGCATCCTGCGGGGCAGCCTGCGGGGCATCGTATCGGGCATCATGCGGGGCATTATGTGAGGCACCATAAGGGGGCATCCTGTGGGGCAGCCTCAGGCGCATCACATTGAGGCATCCTATGGGGGCACCCTGGCATCCCAGGGTGGGATGGGCATTTTATGGGGGCATCCTGCCATTCAGGGGGCGGGGGGGGAGAGGCCGGGGGGGGCATCCTAGGGGACAGGATGCGAGGCATCTCAGAGTCACCCTTGGGGGGTGGGGTGGGGGTGTCCTATGGGCCACCCTATGCGCATTTCAGTTGCATCATATGGGGCGCCCTGTGGATGGGGCATCCGAAGGGGGGCACTCCTGGCCTGGATACATCGCGTTTGGCAAACTAGGGTGCGTTCCAGCGGGGCATTCTACTCTGCATCATTTGGTGCATCCTCGTGGGGCGATCCTGTGCGTGGCAGCCTGCAATGTCGTATGGGAGAGGGTATCATGTGCGGCATCCTACGTGGCATCGCAGGGACATCTTATGGGGAACCCACATAGGGGCATCATATTTGGAGATACATTTCGGTGCATCCAATGGGGCGCACTCTGGGGCGGAAACCTATCATACCATGCATTATGTAGGGCATCCTATGGGACATCCTTGGGGCAGCTTGATGCGGCATCATCGGAGGCACCATGGGGGGCATCATAGGGGGGAGAGGGGGGCGCCCTGACGGGGCATCCTATGGGGCAGCCTCGGGTGCATCATATGGGTCATCCTATGGGGCACCTTGGCATCCTGGATGGCTTCCTATGGAGTATCCTGTGACGCATCTTACAGGTCACTCTCGGGAGGAATCCCATGGGGCATCCTACGGGGCACCCTATGGTGGGCATTCTAGCGGCATTATATCGGGCATCCTAGGGGCATCCGAGGGGGGTCACCCTCGGACGGATCAGATTGGGCATCATAGGATGCGTGCCAGGGTGCGTCCTACTCAGCATCCTTTGGGGCACCCTCGTGGGGCTATCCCGAATGGGGCACCCTACAGGGCTGTATGGGGAGGGGGGAAGGGGGGGGCATTACACATGGCCTACATGGCATCGCATGGGGCATCCTGTGGGGTATCTGATGGGCGATCATTTGTTCACACGGCATGCGTATCCTTGGGGGGCGGGGGGTCCTGTGGCCCACGGGCCCCCCATGGGGCATCCTAGAGGGCATCCTACGGGGTACAGTATGGGGGGGGGCATCTATCAACGGCAAGCTTGAGGCGGCATCATCAGATTTCCCATGGGGGGGTATCCTGTGGGTCATCACATGGGGCATCATAAGGGGCATCCTATGGGGCAGCCTCAGGTGCATCATGGGGGTCATCCTATGGGGCATCCTGCCATCCTCGGGGGCCTCCTATGGAGTATCCTGAGGGGCAGCTCAGAGTTACTCGGGAGGCACCCTGTGGGGCACCCAGTGGGCATTCTGGGGGCATATATGGGCTTCCTAGGGGGACACCAGGGGCATCCAGAGGGGAGGCACCCTCAGATGCATCAAATTGAGCATCATAGGGCGCATCCCGAGGGCATCCTACTCAGCATCCTTTGGGGCACCCTCGTGGGGTTATCCCATGTGGGGCATCCCAGAGGCACGTATGGGGGAGGCGTTTTATGTGGCATGCTACACGGTATCGCTCGGGGCATCTTGTGGGGCATTCCATGGGGAATCATATGGGGCATTTTACGGGGGAATGCGGGAGGAATTTTGTGGCCCATGGGGCATGCTAGAGGGCAGTCTATGGGGCATCATATGAAGGGGGCGTCCCTCGTACGAGGCATCCTATGGGGCATCATATGGGGCATCCCAGGGGCAGCTTGAAGCGGCATCATCGGATGCACCATGGGGGGGAGGGGGGGGGCATCGGGCGGGGCATCCTTTGGTATCTTAGGGGGCATCCTGTGGGGCATCGCATGGGGCATCATACGGGGCATCCCAGGGCCTTCATTTCGCCAGACCCATCACACGCTTCGGAGGTGCACCGAAGGCCCTGACGGGTGCGGGCGCCACCGCCTCCTTCCGACACACCCCTCACACGTTCCCGCCACATATGGGGGCATCACCAATTGCCGGCACGGGCGCTAGGCCCACCGCCTCATTCCGGCACACCCCTCGAAAGTTTCGTGGCCACATCGGGAGGATCACCGACGGCACCAATGGGCGCGAGCGCATGGCGCAACCGTTTCATGTCGGCGCACCCCCTACACGTTTCGTGGCACCATCGGGAGCTCCACCGAAGGCCCCAGGATGCGCGGGTTTTTGGCGGCGCCTGAACGGAAGCATGCTCCGACCATGGCGACGGATGGGGAGGAAACGAACGAGGGCGAGGAGGGGATGGCGATGATCTGATGACGGTGAGGGGAAATGGGAAGACGAGGCGGAGGAGGATGGGAAGGGGAGAGGTAAACGGAGGAGG